AAAAAAAAAAAGCTAATAGACTTAATATATCAGTGATGAGTCGTCCAGTTTAACCTGACACATAAAAGGTTATCCTATTTAGTCCTTAAACCATGCATCCTGGAAATGAACAAATTAGAATGTTACACCTAAAATCGCGCAAATATTTAATGCAATAATAGAACATAAATCCTTCTCATACATAATTAACACTCACAAATATAGTAACCATATAAAAAGTGGCCAAGCAACCCACCAGTTGTATGCGCCCTTTCATAGGAACCCGAAGGCGGCTCTTCACCATTTGGGACTCATCGTTGCTTGAAACTTGTTTGGATTTTTGTACCCTATACTTGTTTAGTAAAGAATTTTTAGCAAGATCAATGGATGCATAATATAGTAAGTAGCGATCTCCATCCACACTTGCTACTGAAAATGGAAGCTTCTGGGACTGTGGCGAGAAGTTCCCTCCAGTAATGCTTAGCACAGCCAGAAAACCATCAATTTTCTACACATATAATATGTAATTAAGTAAAAAACGTTGCAAAGTAAATATTTCTGTGTTAAATCAGGACTGGCATTATGCAGCAGTATACTAACCTGACAAAGTTTTCCAGATAAGAATCGACCAGATAATAAAGACTCCTCAAATGAACCAACCAACGATCTCCTAATGGGAAGTCCACTCAAACTTCGAACAAACCGCATGCTCGGGGAAGTAGGGACCAGCTCCTGCGACATAAACCAACTTACGCTCTTGGAATTTTCCAAGGAGGACGGCCGAAACTCTTTCTCCAAAATAACATCTTCAAATGATTTGATTTCCTCTTCGTCAGAGGCAAATAAAATATGCGAGTCTGAACCACCAAATGATTTTTCTATATCGCGAAGTGAATGATAACCAATATTTTCTTTCTTGACGTCTCTGCATCTTCCTGCATTTTTCATTCTCTCTGAAATCTTTGGACCAAGAGGTGACAAAGAAAGTGGTACCACAGACACGGTCTCGGGAGACAGACTTTCAGACTCCACATGGGTTCTTACTCGACTCAACTTACAGAGTTCATCATGTCCTGGACAAGATAAAATTTCATCCTGAACTAGAGATTTCTTGTTTTCTATCAGAGGACCATCATGAAAAACAATGGATTTCACAACGCCGCTGCCATACAGCATTTTCTTCTGTTCCAATAGACCTGCTAGAGACCACGTTTGCAAGGTAATGTCATTTTTACTTCCAACATTGGCTTTCTTAAAATCATGAGCTGCAGAAGTTCTTAAATTTTCAGATATAGAGGCATCAGTTTGGATACTTCTGCTACCAATGTCCAACTGATCACCCTTAAATTGGTCTGGAAAAAGCATGCTACTCAGTGGAGATAACAGCCGCTTTCTAACTGCTGACCCACTGGACTCGGTTTCACTGACCCTAATATCAACCGTGCTTCCATCATTTCTAGAACTAGTTTCCCCTGACACAAATCCAACTATCCTAGAAACCGGATTATGGCTATCTCGTCCACATTTAGAGTTAAACCAGCGGCCATCATCCATAGAGCCAATTTTTGGACCATGATAATTGGAAGAGTTTTCCAATCTCCCTCCAACTTTAGACAAGTTCTCATGAAAATTTGGAAGCTCCATATAGAAGTTTCTCTCAGAATCTCCAGAAGAAGAGCATGGCGAACTCCCAGTACACCGGCTCAAGCCTCCATTACGGATTCCAGCCAAATTGCATGAGCTCACATCGTTAAAACGTGGAGGGCTCTGCAGAAACATGCTCAATGAACCAGCTGGTGGTACCTCCTCAGTTGTTCCACTTATGGGGACTTGCGGTAAGCCCATTGCTAAATGCCGATCTTCCCAAAAAACTAATTATTATATTTTGAATGGGATTTTACTCCAGTTCCTTTCTCTTTTCTCAACGAATACATATACGTCCTTCCTTAAGAGTGTGTGTTGAGAGAGCTTAGAGTTTGCTTCTGTTGCTGTTGGATACCAGATGCCTACACTTCTACCAATGTTTCTACTGGATGATCTTCTACCTTTAAGCACTATGATTTTAAATTCTTAATTACCTATGCTCATTAGTATCCTGATGAAAGAAGAAAGATCAAAAGAGTGCATTTCCCAGATCTAAATATAAGCCAATGCTATGTATCTTCCAAGTGCATCCATGATTTAGACATACCCTCTTCCATGCCCATGGAGTTTTTCATAGAGAAACTCAAGCAGATGTGAGATATCAAAAAATTACAGCGAGCAAACTTCCTCCAACCTCCATTCAAAGGAATAGCCAACGACACACATTTCGTCATCGCCAATACAACGACTAAACACCCCTGAAATGATATGAACAATGATTAGTCCCTTCCCATAAATCTACTGTATTCACTTTACCTTGCATTTGTAAATGTCTAGTATCGATCCAATTTCATCAATATTTAACAAAACAGCACAAAATTTTCTCTTTAATTAGTGGTTATAACTAAAGATGATCATTGATGGGGTTTATTACTCGCCATGATATGATCTACAGGAGTTGCAACTTATATTCCAATCAAACCAGTGTATTAATGTGGGACAAAATGCAGAATCAACCATGGAAGAATCAAGAATGGTAGAGAAAGAAAAAGGAGTACAGATTTTTTCAATTAACAATTCCTCCATTACAATGGAACGAAGAGGAGCATATCTGGGCTTAAAATTCCTTTCCCCTCTACCTCCCCTCAAGGCCTTTCTCGCCTAAAGATGTACAAGAGAATATCAACACCAACCAAAAAGCAGAACCAACTTCCAGAACGTCAAATAGGAAGAGGACTCGAAAGAAGAGAAGTTGCTTGTACGAAACCCATAAGATAACCCATTCAACGCAATCGCATTACAATTGGGTCATCATCCACTGCAAGCAACTGGATTTTTCAATTGTTATGTTATTCTTAAGCTGTTTCTTTGTTCAGTAATTGAAAAAGAAATAGCCCAAAAAAACCCCCCCATTAAAGAGATTTTCGTTAAACTAAGAAGTCTAAAACCAGAGCTCCTCCGGAGAAGGCAGCAGCAGCACACAGAAACGACCAAAACGAAAGTAGAACAAAAACTAATTTCAGGGTACGGGAAGCAGCTGGATCACCCAAAATTAGGAAGAGAAGACAAGGATTTAGTGAGTGAATTAAAAAGAAAAAACATCATCCGGATTAAGGGACGCACCAATTAGCAGTCCGGTGAAAGAATCCGGCGGAAAAATCATTTCCGAACAAAAAGTCTACACCCCCAGATCGAGAATCCCCGATTGTTGAAGGATTGAACACAGAAAGGGGAAAATCAAAGGGGGAGGGGCCTGGTTTTGGTTGGTGTGGAAGAAATTGGAAATGGGAAATGGGTATAGTAGAGGGCAGATGGGTTTAGTTTTAGTTTTAGAGAGAAGAGAAGAGAAGCTTCGTTCGAGCTTTGATGGGTTGGATCATGGCTCAATGGTTCAATGGCTCAATGGCTGATGGGTGTGTATCCATAATCCATAATCTCTCTCTCTCTCACCATGTTTTTGT